CGTGGTGTGGTAAAGTGACACCTTGCAAGGTGTTACAATGAATTTCATACTCGATTCTGCTATTTTCTTTGTTATGTGTTGTGTCCAAATCGGAAAGCTATTGTTACTGAAGTTAACAGACAAGAAAAGATATTGTTCGTATGTGGTTAGGGTGGGCGGTTGATACAAAATCCGGGGTTGGACTGGTTTTGGACCCGCGTGTCGACGTTTCGACGAGATGCATTTGCCATCTTCAAATGAGCTTCGTTAATATATGCACTACCTCCATGATATATGTTACGAAATGATGCATCAAACATTAACTATAGGCAGAAACACTCAATCTGGCAAGTCGATCATCGTACATATGGCTAGAATGCAGACAATGATATCTTTCGAGATCTCCTAGTTCCACCACGGCTTTCTATCATTCTCTTCTGTGGATCTACTTTTTAGCCTGAAGGCCAAATCCTCTACAAAGGGGGCTGGCAGTAAATTATAAGGGGCTTATACCCATTGGGTTCGAGATCGAGTATGCAATGAGCATTTCTTTGTCTCCTCTGGAAGATGTCTTTGTTCCTCCTGGAAGAGCCCGAGACAGCTCGACCTATATAAAGACAAGTTGGACAAAAGGATCTCATCCGCCTTCTTTTCTCCCAAGTTGTTTACTTCGATCGCTTCGCGCAGGCGCATTGACGCGCCAAACTTGCTGGGTAACAATGAACCCGCCCGAAAGTTGGATCGATTGGGCGTGCAAATAAAGTACGACTAACAGGGAACTGGTGTGGTTTGAAAATGTTTGGGTTCGGTCGTGTAGGTATAGCGATCGTTAACTGCTTGTATCAACAGTCAAAGATGGAGGAAACATTGTACAATTGGCATATGGTTTCGAAAAAAAGGGACTTTAGTGATAAATGTCAGCTACTGTAAAGAAAACATACCTTGGATTTTAACACTGCAGTTGAAAGATCAAAAAATGTAGAAAGCAAATGGAGAATGCAAATAATTATTGGTTTCGGAAAAAAAAATTGTTTTAAATTACAAAATTTGAAAAAATCCTTTTGTTTGTCTTTCCCCATCCTCTGAGCTGATATCATTTTCATGAACACTTGCAAACCAAATTGGGCAAAGGACACAAAAAGTCGTAATTCCAGACACCCAAAACGGGAGGGGGTATAAGGCAAAAAAATCAAGACAGGCAAACTGAAGAAAGGGCATATTTGGCACATTTTTTTATTTGGAACAAGGAAATTGTTCATGTCACAGTCAGAAGTTTCCCGACTTTCATTTTTGTCAGTTTTGGCTTCAAAAAACATTCTTTCAAGAGGTTTAAGCAGAATGCGTTACGGGATTTCTTTTTTTCTTTCGTTCACCGTGTATATTCCAGTTATTTTTCAGGGAGGAATTATTTTGGAATAAAAACAACAACCAGAAAAACAACCTGGTGAGACAAACTGGAAAGACGGGCTGTAATGAGAGCGGAGCCAGTGATCCCGCATGTGTATAATTTGAGGAGACCACGGGCAAATGTATGTCTAAAGAATGAATGAAACTGAGGAAGAAGAACAGCGTTTCAGTCCAAAAGTCAAGACTGCCGGTGTGCATTCGACGTTGATGCAATCTGAATAGAGGTTGATGCATCCCTACTAAAATTACACAAAGCTATCAAAATAGAGGCAGTGATTTGCCATAAAAAAATCCCTTCATGCTTGTAATGGTCTGTCCTTCTTTTCGAGTAAAACAAGTTTACAAGGAAATCTGAACAATCACCAAAAGGATTAAAAGAACCTGGATGATTATTCTCTTCAGTACAAAGAAAACGGGCCCAACAATATCCACAATGGTGGACGCTTGGTCAGTGGCGCCGCGCCGGCCATTTTGAGCAAATAACTGGTTCAATCCCATAATTTTGTGTTCGGCCGCGCGCTGTTACGTAACCCAACACAATAGCAGCCCGCAATTTCATCCCAAGGATTCGTCAGAAAAACTGTTGAGTAATCCGCTTGGCTTGGGGCCAGCAAACATGCACTTGAATGAGGAAGAATGAGTGTGGTTTCGGTTTGGCATGCCCAGAGCTCCGAGTGGGCCCAAAATCTTGAATAACAATCAAGTGAATCACAAAATTACAATGGCCGTGGCAAGGACGCCATTGCATGCCTACCTTATCCCGTGGTTGTACGGAGACATTAACCCCAACATTTTAATAATCTTTGAATGATTTCCCTACTGTAAGGACTTGTATCTTTTGTGTTTATTGTTGGTTTCCTTGTTTGCAAGTTTTTGGCTTTACATCATGCCGTATATTTGAGACATTTTTTCCCTTGTTGGATGATTCGGCTTCTGATGTCCCATTTCATCTCGAATCACATAATAATTTCCCCCATCAGATTATTTCATCGCAATTTTGTTTCTTGTTCAGCCAGCTCCAACAGAAATAAAAATCGAAAAACACCCAACAATTTGTTCCCAATTCTTATAATGTCTTCATTGGTGTGCACATAATAAATTATGCACTTTTTCATGTATGATTTAGTGCTCTGTTATCCAATAGTTCCATTATTAATTATGTTCTTGATTGTCATTTTGGGCCGTTTCAGGAATAAAACAGAGACTTATATTGACTTGTACGCGGACGCACTTTCAAGCGCTGGTTCACTTTGGTAACTCCGTACGTCTCCATGATTTTAAGAATGTGTCCGAAGCCCTATATGAGACATTCGCCGATTTTTTTTTTACCCGTGTCATTTGCCATAAAGAAGTTGTTACAATCTAGGCTAAACTATAGACTAGAGCAATCATTACGGTGTGGGACAAAACAAAATACGGACTGTTACGACATTGGTTAAAATGTGGACCCATCTTGGGTTCTGTCTGCTCACCGTGACATCACACAGATTATTGTACATTTTGTGCGAACTTCGAAAAAAATGTCGCACTTTTTTGCAAACATCAAAAAACAAAACTACCAAATTATGATGAAATACCTTACTTGACTGTGATTGAATAATAGTCTCAAGCATTCTGTGAAATCATGGCACCTGGTGTCCTGTCATTTTTAATAAAAAAACATGGAACATTTTTTATCAATTTCTAACGATGGTCGGCCGGCCATCGTTGGATTTTTCCCCCCAAATATACTTCCCCCAATTTACCAAATTTAATAAGTCCACATATGTTATGCAATCGGTTACACATCCGTGAACGGATGCAAGCCAGCTAGTCTGGTTCCCTGACCGGACAATTCCTCGACGTCTATAAATTGCTCCGTTTTGTCTTAAGTAGGGTCAGGGACCCAGACTACAAGAACAGCATTTAAATTTCCAGCATGTATGAACAAAAAACCTTGAATAGGTCAGTGTTATAATATTTGCTATAAAATACTAACCCCCAATCCATCCATTTCTGAAAATTACACTTTACAGCAAAAGCAAATGTTGTAGATTATTATCTTAATTATGACAAACAAGACTTATTATTTTTTATTAGGGATGGTCCTCGGTACAAGTACAAATCGATTAGATTTTGGAAGTAATCTGGATCTGGGTCTGGATCAAGGATTTTTAAAGGATTCCTCACCATTTTGCGAGTATTTCTCTTGGGTGTACTGACTATAATATCGCGGGGAATTGTTTAGCCTTGGCGGAGGTTTGCGCTCTCTGGGTGCTTTCTAGTTTGTTTTTTTTTGTTCCAGTGTTTTTATCAGTGAATCTTAATATTTTCTTTTTACATTACCTCAGAAAATAGGACCGCATGAAAGAGATATTTTTGAAAAGTTAAAGAATCTGTATTCGCTCGAATAAGTCTTTTCTAATGAAGCCTTACTTTTCATGTTGCTTTTTTTTTAGATTTTTGTAAATGTTTTGTTGTTTAATATGCAATTTGACTACTGAATTTGGTTCGCTTAGGCGGTTTTTTGGGGGAGAAAATATCATTGTTCAAGCTACAAAAAGGCTATTACTTCACTGAAAAATGCAAACCTTTCGCCGCGTTACGGTGCAAGTCGTGCTTCTACCAAAACAGAAATCATTTTTACCAAAAAGAAATTGTTACAATTCACTCGATCAGAGAGCTTAAGTTTTGGTTTGACAATGGTTTGAAAGTCACTAAAATGTGTACAAATGTGCCTTCCTTTCTTCCATTCACTGTATGGGGCTTATGCTTTTGCTGATAGGGGCAAAGAGCTGCGCTTGGCTGGGGCATGGCTAGGGCATGGGGGTTCTGTACCTTTGTCCTGAGATCGTAACAAAAGAAAGATGGGGACCGGATTAAGGCAAAGCTCTGACCCAGCTATCCGAAACCGGATTAGGCGAACGGTGGACCGTTATCTTAAGCTTATCTGCATAGCAAACAAACTCACGTAATCAAGAACTCAGAAGTGCAAGAAACCGCAACGCCATACCAGCATACCAGCTTCCCCATTCAAGTTCATTTACTATGCAGAGCAACCTTCCAACGCCCTAAAAACACGTATCTCAACTCATGCATATGCAATAAGCATATACAGCTCAAGTAGGCAGGAGGATCGATCGTCTATTGTGCAAATAAATTACTTCCTCATATTTTCATCTTTGTCGTAGCCTCATCATTGTCTCCCCCTTGTTTGTTTGTCGGTGTGTAGCCATGTGTGCACATGCCGCGGCAAGACAAAAGGTTCAAACTTTACTGCTTTGTTCATGGTGGAATCCTTGCTTTGTCTCAGCATGTGATACAATACTGCGGTCTCACTCGCTATTGGTGTAACATTCCCCATTCCTGACTAATCAACCATACATTTAACTCATTTGCATCTTACGGTACACTCAAAAACAAAAACAGTGGAAGTCCCAATCTCAATACAAACAATCAACAAACAGTTTTTGACACAAATACATGTATCTAACTTATTAGTCAAGGGTGCAATTTTTATCGTTATGATTGAGTGCCCCTTCCCCATTTCCGTTATGCAACATGGATTGCGAGCATCCAACATTTCCAAGGCAAGTGGTAAGATGAACGATCTATTTGAAAGTGCAAGGACTTACCCTGTTCGGTTGAGGGATGGTCGGACGATGTTTGGGTCGGGGGAGGACCGGGTATGGAGTAGGGTCCCCATCGGTAGGATGATAACATGCTTGCTGATATGATAGATCTACCAAAAGATGACTATAGATGTGCTGGAAATGGAACTGGGTGGTGGTATACTACAAGTACAACAAGGTTGCGTCGGCCGCGTCCTGCACATTCGCTCCTCTGTATCGCAACTACACTGCAGTCGCCTGGACTTGGACTTTAGGTCTGAATCTATAGTTAATTAGTTGGGACGCAGACAGGCTGTGCAGACAAGTTGCGTAATCCTGCATAATTCGTGGCCCGGCTGTTGTCGTTACTGCTATACAAACCACACACCGCGCAGCGAACCGGTGAACACTTTAGGTAGATTTACATCCCCTTTCTGTCCACATTGAATGCCCCTTGCCCGGCATTTCTAACAGCATGTCCGACTCCAAGGTTATTGCGGAGCCGAACCATCGTCCAATGGTCAAGGCGGGGTGATGGGACATCGCGGAGGGACGGACTGACCGGCGAAAATCGGACCAAATTCCACCCCTTTCAACCACTTACTCGCCAACCCAACCACCCGTGGAACCCTCACCATCGTCCCCAGATTCTACCCGACACCCATGAACCAGCCCAATGCCAAAAAACACCCATTCTGACCCAAATTACCGAGTTTTTCTAGCAATGTCAGCCCCTCAGGATTGGAGTGGATCGTCCAAACGACCGCCACCTTGAATTGAAATGCGACGATCGAACCATGTTACGTAACACCTCACAGCAAACGCTATGTCCCTGCGCTCCTCTATTCATGACATCGACATTGTACATAATGGCTCCACTGTATATTATTATCATAGCTACGTGGTAAGGTTCTATTGCATTGCATTAATACGTGTACACGTACCAAATGGGCGTTGTACATGCATGTGGTCCAGTTAAATATCCAACTAGAACAGCCCAAAAGCATTTTCGCTGACAATTTAGCCAAATTTTCAAGACTTTTAACCTACTTCTTTTTACGGTATTTACATCTTTCTGTTGTTCCAATTGACATGTTTCCTTTTACGTTTTAAGTATTATAGCACCGAAAATGTATCTATAGTTTAGGTATAAGTAACAAATAACAAATAACCACGAATTTCAACACTGGAACGAATGAGCTTGAAGAACAGCTAAAGTAAGCTCAAAGTCAAAGATGAACGCCATACTTTTACGCACAAGTGGAAGGGGAAACATAACGCTGCAATTTAGGGGCTTCCCACGGCGCCCTCTGTTGACAACCGTCTTCTATACGTAAATGGCTATTTTTCAATGGTTGCAGACCAGTAAATAAACTGCCATAGACCCCAATGATAAATACACCCACTTCAGAAATTCAAGAAAAATACTCACAACTCTCCGAGCTGTTCGAGACACACATCAAATTAAAGCTTATTTCATCATCATTTTCTTTTCAATTTTTTTTTTTTGGGGGGGGGGAACTGATGACCTTAGGAAAAATTTCCATCCGAAGATAACATATAGAGTGCTTTTAGGGCCCCACTTTCATTCAAGTTGCAAAGAACTACAAGCTCACAGTCCTGTGCACGGCTTCCACCCATTTTTTTTTTTACAAACCCTCAAGTTCACGGCCCACAATATGCTCAAATAACGAAGAATTTGAGGGCATGCAAAAGGCGATTTGGCCGGCGTAGGTTTTGGACCGACTGACCTGCAACCATAATTTATGATAAGCGTATGCGATGATGCAGTTTTTAGGAAGATATTTCTCAACTCCCATGGAATTCCACTCTTCGTTTGGTCTAAATTGACTTTCATGGTGGGATGAGATCGGAGTTTTAGGATGTTTCATCGTAGCAACATCGTTTCGGACTAACGATTAACAATAACAAACAATAAAAAGATAATTAGGTCCATGAAAATGATCCGCAATTTTCAAATGGTCATGAAGTGACCTTAATTAATCATGGATCGGTAAACACACGTCTATATTAAATTCGCAAACAGGTCATTTTACACTATTACGTAACACTTCCGAATTATTCAAATCCCCAAAACAAAAAGACGTACAAAGAAATTAATTTACAGTCACTGTTTTAATGAGTTTTTGTGTCGTTAAGTTTTAATAAACTGTACAGGTTCTTCAGAATAATACATAGACAATGAAATTTACAGCTTTCCATGAAATTTACCAGACGAAAAGGAGCATAAGGATATATGTTCATCATCAGATCAGGTTAATAAATTATTTTCGTGTCACAAAACTATGAAATTTAAAAGGCTACGTTATTTTCCGCATACTTTGGGTTAACATTATCTACCTTTGTGGACATAAATTTAACAATGTTAACACTTATATTTATTGTTTCATTTTGAAACGAGTGTGAAATCTTTATGGCCATAAAAAATATACTTTTTGTTAATGTGCCATATCATCAATGTGCAAATACAATGCGAATAGTCAAGATTCTCATTGATGGTCATTCACGTCTTCTGTTAGAAGTTAATTACTTGAACATTTACTTTGGTGCAGCATTAAAAAAACCAAGACCTCAAACCAGTATCTGATAGTTAGTATCCCTCTGTAACCAAACTAGCCGTTAATAAATATCATTGTGTTTTTTTGGTTGTTACTTGTGTCTGCTTCACAATGACAAAGTTTTTAACAAACTACGTAATTATTTAGAGTAAAATCATGACCTGCATAAAATTATGCCGAAAAAGTCTAGGTAATCGAAAAACAAAGATGGAGGACATTGCTTATACGTGTGCAAGAGTTTCCACACAATACTTTCAAGATTAGTCAGTTTAAGAAAGGGAGTTAAAATTCCTAAGTCATTAAAGTAAGGAATAATTAGCATAATTATTGTAACTAAACAACGCAGCTCCATTTCATAATTTCAGAGATTATTTTTTATACTGTTCATTACTATAATCTAATAGAAACGTTTTTAAACTGTTCATTATTATAGCTGACAAAATATTAACAAAACTTCTTTTTACTTACAAATACCTGGTAGCTGCGTTTTAATTCAAAAGAAATACAACTTCCAAATCAAAAATATTCACCTGTCCAAATATTGAACAATAGAGGGCTCCCTTTGTCTTTAAGGCGTTTCGAATATCAAATGACATAAAAACACTGCAAAGGCCACTGAGGGCGCACAGACTATGATAACTGATCTCCATGTCAAACATCTGGATAGCTCGTTTCCATTTCGAGTTGTATAGACCTTTCTACGCTTGGTTGACAAACTGTATTTTTGCCAACCACGGATTGCAAAAGGTCCAAAACTGCAAAAGTGAAGAAAAGTTATTACCTGAACACTATATTAGGTCAATTTTAAGGCCGGAGGCGGGACAGGCAAAATATTTTTTTTAAATTTGGTTAGCATGCATGATAATCGACATTTTCCCCTCAAAGTGTGCATCAGCATGCGTAAAATAGTAAACTTTTTTTTTCTCAGTTGCCATGGGAGTTAAAGATTTAAAGCGGGTGTGAATAAGAGGAATTTTCAGGAATACATGACCTCTAAATAAATCCTAAACTTTGCGGCGTCGTATGCATCCAATTTTTGGTTTTTTTTTGTGGTTAAGTTGCCTAACTGCACTTGGATATTAATTTGCTTGAAAATTAAAATTGCAATTGATAATTGTAACATTGGAATTAGGAGGTAAAATGTTAAGTTTTAATTCAACCGCCGATTAATCGTTTGCTGAACAATGATACCGGTTAAGACGATCTAAGGGGTCTGTGGCTAGACTATAATGCATTTGGTACCCAGACGCTCGTAGTGAAAGGTGGAGCTGCAGTCGGAAGACTTGTAGTCATGGATGTCATTCAGTCTGGTTCAGAGGTTGATACTCACCAGGAAGGTACTTGTCGATCATCGGCAATTCATTCTAAATTTGAAAAAAATATGACTTCAGTAAGAAAAACATGGCAATATCATTAGGAACATTAATACGCTCCACACTTCACGTCATTTTTTTCTTGTGGTTTTTGTTGTTTGGATCAATTCTTACATGATGGAATAAAAAAAGTTTAAGCTTCACGTATTCCTGAAAATTATTTTCTGGTTTGTCAGATACATGTAATTTCGTTAAGCCTACCGCCGGTTAGTAATGGACTGAGCTGCCCGTGCAGTTTGCGATCACCAACTCTCCCCCCCCCCCAAAAAGATAATAATAATGTAGTAGATTTTGTTTATTGAAAGTGATATTATTCGTTACAATGAAATACCCAAATGTCAACATTCGTCAGGATATACAAAGGTATTAAATGAAGAACAAGGATAGTGCATCTTGGGGAAAACGGCAGAATAATTTACCTTTTTACCAACAACCCAAAATATCTGTGTGTACTCATTTAGCGTTTACAGTATCACTGGTATCCTGCTTTAAACTCACCCGATTCCAAATGAGGAAGACCAGCCCGTACACCACGCAGACCAGCGTCAGAATATAAAACGACAATGTGGCACCAACGACGTCCACCAGAAAGCCATACATGGCCGTGCCTGCGGCGGGGCCCAGACCCCAGTACACGCCGCTCAGCAGACCCTGGACGGAGGCCTGACTGACCAGCGCCACTGACGAAGCTAAGAATGACGTCATCGTGTTCAGGGTGATGGCGTAAGAGGCACCTGTCGCAGGACAGTTAATAGATTATAAATTTTAATTCAAAAAATGGACTCGAATCAAAATGAATTCCCCATTTCGAAAAGATTATTAAAATCTAGTTTTAGGTTAATCGGACATGAACATAATGCATTTTGCCCACCCTCTTCTCTGAGTGGACTCCGTAGAGGGCGCTGTATTGGCTTGATGCATCATGAATTGAGGTAGCAATTGGAGGGGGGGGGGGAGGTGTCTCGGGACTACCATAACCTTTCAAAACATCTTGATGGTCGTTTAGCTTATCAACAGTTAAATAAGGTATCCCTCCATGCCCTATTTCCACGATCATTAAAAAAAATACCACCATCAGCTCGTCTCCTGCTTTTGGAAGAAGAGAACAATTTGAAGCGAAACGATTTTTTTTTTTTACAGAGAACAGCTTACCGTGAATAATTTCAATAACCACCACCCAGCCTGGCCTGGAAATCATGGCATAGCTCAAATGCATTAGACAGTAGCCAACGATGCCGACTACCAGCGGGAAATGGTACCCTGTCTTCTTGATGATCCATACGGTGCAGAACGACGTGAGGATGTCGGCGATTGCGAACATCGAGATGGCTGCCCCCAGAAGTATGGGCGTGGCACCTGTGTTGGGGAGAAAAGGGGAGAAATCATAGTGGGTTTGTAGACACTGCAGGAACTATGGTCACCATGTCTCATAAAATGAGATATCCCTTTTGAATTTTGTCACGTGGTTGATGTGGCTCTCCCAGTGCAGCATTGCAACACAAACTATAGCCCAGATACAAAAAGGCAGTCACAGGACACCTTACAATAGTTGACGGATTAATTAAAGTTGCAACCAGCGTTTCGATTTCACCCTTAATTTCATTCGTTAACCCCGGCAATTAAACAGGTGCATTTGCATATATGTCCACAATCAGATCCTCTTTGGAAAACCACCTGTTGGAGATGAATGATTGTTAGGGGAAAGATTTCCATATACGAAGTTCACTAATTTTCCTCTGTATTGACTAACAAGCCCCCAGATAGCAATTTCATGTCATCAAAGTCAATTTGAGCAGTGAGAAAATACAAGCATTTTCTTAGAAAACACTTAAAATTTTTCAGTCCAATCTCATAGGGTTTGTACACAGGGTGTTGAGTGAACTTCGTATATGGAAATCTTTCCATTGTTAGGTTATCAAAGAACAAAACTTTACCTAGTCGGCGCAAATGCCAGAACAGGAAGGTGCTCATTGCGCCGTTGCAGAATGAGAGGACAAACGCAGTGACGAATACGGTGGAGTATTTCCTGGAGAACACGGCCCCAGTCATGTTCCTTACAGTGTGCTGGGATGACATATCATTGTGCTGGTGGAGGGAAACAAACATATCCGAATAAAAATGCATTAATTGAGTACAATTTTCTTAAGGGAGGCCTACATGCATTATAGCCGCGCCGATTATTCACTGTCAATAATGTTGCTTCTTGAAGATTTTGTTGAAGATAATTATATAACGGCTGTACTCTTTTGTGCATGTTGCTGCGGCTGTTGATAATCATTCTTGTTAAATGCCAGTGCGGAAAAAATCTTGCAACCTGACGCCACTTATTTCTTCATTATCGTCTCAATGAAGGTCATTTATTGCTAACTTGATCATAAGACATGAATCTGGAACTGAGAAACATTTCCAATTTTGTTAGGAAATACTTAGAAAATGTTCTTGACTCTCCATAGACTTTGTACACAATCGCGGAAGTGGCGTCAGGTTGCAGCAATTTCGCTGTTGTTATGCTGCTGCTTGCTGTTGCTGATATAGAAAAATCCTGCTGTTGCAAAATGTTTGCTGCTGCGATTCTTCAGCTTCAAATGCTGCTGCTGTTTTTGCTGTTGCTGCTGCTGCTGCTGGAAGTTGCAGCTGCTGCGGCAGTGCCTCTGCTGTTGAATCATATTGTTCATGACCAGTTTCCTTAATAACAATCATGTAAACACGTTTCGAAATGTTTTACCTTAAATCCCAAGCAACTGGCCACCAAGACGCCGATGGTCATGAAGCCAGCAAACACGACCAAGCCGATGAAGTAATCGGTCTCCTCCCAGGTAAAACCGCAGCGGAACTTGGTATCTCGAGATTCATACAGCAGGATAGCAACAGTCAAAGACCTGCAGAGAAGTGACCAATGGTGGAATAGCTGACGTCATCCAATGAAAACATCTATTCATTTTGCACACCACTTTTCATCGGTTGTTATGCGTTGCCATTCATCACTCTCCATACTGTGTATGAGAGTTCCAAAAGTTAAGATAGTAAAATCATGAAACACATGAAAATAGAATGGCAAATGAAACAACCAGTCCAACACAACTTTAGCACTGCACCTATCAACTGTGTCAAAAGAAGCATCTGGTGCCTAGCTCTATTTCTACACATTCTCTATACATGTAGTCATGCCACCAGACTACTGAAAGGTCAATCTTTTCAAACTATAACGTTAGACATGATGTGCTTGTCTAGTTTAAGTTTTCAAATTGAAATCACTTGGCTCTCAGGTGCAAAAGTTGATGAAAGTCTCCTTTAAAATTAAATTGAGACCTTAAACTTGGCTTGCGAAGTACTGAGGACCTTGTCTTTGCCTCATGAACATTTTGGAGAATTTTGTCAGCTAAGAAGTGAGTACTGTTTGCATGTTTTTTGGATTGTTTTCTGCGCTCATGTGACCATGGTCCCAGCCTGTCAGCATTCAGACTCAACAACCATTAAGTTTCAAGAACATAGGTGTGGGAGCTAGATGAGCCAATGTAAAACAATGCCCGGATGTCCGCACTCAGATAAGAGTTAGGATCTGGCTTTTTTGAGGGTCAAAAAGGACTATCGGAGAGTAGCACTTCACAACTTATTCTTGCATTTCCACTTCGTTTAAAAAACTTTCAAAGAAATCATTTGACATTTTCGGTAAAAACAACGTGTCAATTATGGCTAATCGTTGCAAAAACCTTACAAAAACATTGATTTCGGGGCTTTGAAATAAATCAAAGGTTTTTTCAAAGAGATTGCTCATAATTAGACCGTGTACAACTGAAAAAGTGGCCTTTCAATAAATAATCATTAAAATAAAAAAGGAATGTTGCAACACTTACGACAGAGCAAATCCAATGGTTCCAAAGCATCTCTGCCAGCCGTAGCGATCCCTCTGAGCTTCGCCGAGGGACATCAGCGCTCCCACGTCCACCAGAGAGAAGGCCGAGATCTGAGCCGCACCTCCCACGGCCGCCAAGATGAACACAACAAGTGAGGTTTGGTGCACCGACGCCTGCTCGTACAGCCACCTGAGGTTCGTCTCTCGCAGCTCGCTGCGTGGTGCTTCGTCTGTGGTGTTTGAGGTTTTCGCTTGCGGTACCTCATCCTCTGTGATCTTTGTAGAATTTGCTTCTGCATTTTGGCTGGATGAATTGGTAGGCGGGGTTGGAGGTGTGATGACCTCACTCTCGTTGTATGAGGTGCAAACCTCATACACATCTACAGTGCAAGGTTGAGGCCAGGTCTGCAAGATGATCGGATAGTGTCCCAAGTACTCGAATGAGGATTCTCTCTTGCTACCGGGTTCAGGGGATTCTAGCTCAACAGAATTGCAAGATACCTCCAAGGCCTCCAAGAGCTTACGCTGGGCAACCTCACAAGGTGCCAGCTCTGGGCTGCGGGGGCCGTAAACAGCGGCGATGGTAAACCCCATCCACAGCAACACCACGACCCAAAACATGCAGCGGTGCAAGCGGAGTTTATCCGCCGCGAAGCCCCATAGCGGGACGAAGAAGAACGCGGCCAGTAGGCCGGCGCCGACCGCTAAGCCGAAGTGCCAGGGTGGTAGACCCCACCTCAGCCCGTACATGGACAGGAACGGTATGGCCCCTGCGCTACCAGCACTCAACAAGAAGTAAATCAACTTACTATCCAGCACAGTCTCATTCACGTGAATGCAATCAGAGACAACTTGCAGGAAGGGTTTACGATCCTTTCTTTCCGAACCCCAGACCTTGTCATCTTTCCTCTTCTGTTTCTTTTTCGCCGTGATCTTCTCGAGTTCATCTTGTGAACCGTCGTGACTGGAAGTCCGCAGTTCCTGGTTTTTGGCCTGGTCTAGAGCCTGCAGTATCCTCTCTCTTTTCTCCCCGCTCGGCTCTAGATCCGCCATGATGGTTCTGTGCAACAATCACTGATTTCCACAACTCCACGCTCTGGTTAACCCCTTCAAAGCCTCACACGCCCCCGTCCGTACGTAATACCGACTTAACAAGTTTGTTCCCCTGGCTGGCTTGACCCTATACGCAGGCGATGTTTTTGTACCAAAGCCTTTCTGTGCGATTTTGATTTGAAAGGGCGCTCTGTTGGAAATGTTGAATACGGCAGAGGACGATAAAAAAGGCTACTTTGTGTTCAAAAATGTTGGAATTTGAATACAAATAGGCTAGTCGTGCGGTTTACCAAGCGGCGCTAAATCGCTACTACGCAGTTTGCAATATACTGGGAGTGGGTTTGCATAAAAGAACACAGTCTTCCTATCAAGTTATACAGGGTGTTTCAATAAAAAGGAAACCCAACTTTGAAGAACCAGTATGGACAGACTAAATGTTTACTCGCTATAAAACTGTTATCATCTGAAAGCGTAATCTCTGTGCTTTTCAATGATACCTTTTTTACATTTCCAGGGTCATGCATCACGTATGAGCGCCACTGTCATGAGGTTTTGATGCAAAATTGCAGTTGGTTCACTTTCATGTCAAACACAATAGGCATGGTGTGCATGAGAATAAGTATTCAAGAAGAAGACACGAGTACATAAAAAGAACCCCCCCCCCAAAAAAAAAGTCGGGTTGGTTTCAAAACTGAATTTTATTGTTTGTCATGAATTTCTCGTTTTGACCAAGCTACGTTCAAAACAATGTGCCATTTCCCCAAGGATTAACATTCAAGCCATTTCACAGGCATTTCCGTAACAATGGGCACACCGTGCCCAGTGTTTTTTTTTTTTTTTGCTGAAAGTGAACCAACTGCATTTTTGCATCCAGTTTTCAAGACAATGATGCTCACTGATGCATGACTCAAAAAACCTAACCATAGTATCATTGAAAAGCATAGAGATTACGCTTTCAGATGATACCAGTTTTATAGCTAGTAAACATATCGTCTGTCCATACTCATTCTTTGAAGTTGGGTTTCCTTTTTTTTTTAACACCCTGTAGTCTGGTGCCGCAAAATCATTCTATAAAAAAAAAAAGCTCACATAACTTTTCACAATCTGCCAGTTTGAAAGTCACTTTTTGACCATGACATGACCTTGTTACCCGCATGGCCCTTTTTTAATGTGTGTCTTAACATCTGCTACGTGGGGTAACCCATCTTTTGACCGAAATCACCTTATTGTTCTTCGTAGCAAAACCAATTTTCAGACAGGCTGCTTGACTACATCACATTCTAACTATAATGGGCACGAATAGATAGCTTGGCTGTACTGAACTTCTCATGCAAAGGACGTTCAAGCATACTAATAAAGAGGCATGCAAGGAATTAAACAAATAGTGAGTGTTTTATTGTATAATTATCCTTTTTTTTGTTAAGCTTAAACGATTTGTACAAAAAGTGGCAGCTTTTGAAACTGTAGTGCTACTTTTATAAACGTAGCGTAAATATTGCAAATTGAACAAATAGGTGCTTATGAAACACACCGTCATTAAAAAAAGAAAGAAAACAAGGCCTACTGTTAATTATTCAAGTCTCCAACTACTTGATTTTCCAATAGATCATGCGTCTCAAAATTAAAAGATATATAGTTTACAAATTGCATTTCCAGTGAAAAATAAAAGTTCTGATGACAAAATATGTTGTGTTTTTAACCACAAATCATGTGATCTGCTGAATGTTTGGAAGTAAAAAAAACCTCAAACTGAAGAAAATGATTTTCTAGTGGTAAACGACCCCACTGGCTCAGGTATCAAGGGCCTTTCCATCGATTTTGTAGTTTCCTGCAAATTATTTTATTTAAAGGCATATATGAAATTTATTTAAAGGCATATATGTTGTTTTTTTTTTTGCTTTTCGTGCACTTTGTTCGTTTCCTATAATAACACCACTCAAAATCCAAAGAAGAATGTTCAAAACCTAACCTGTTAAAATTTCAGCTCAGTGTATAATTATACTTTGAGAAAATAGTGAAAACCCATGGCATTTTTTTTTATCACGAAACACGATTTCGCCCACTAGCACTATTTATTTCCCAAAATCAGTCAACTGTTTTGGCTGATCGTTGGAAATCACCTACTTTTCTTGATTTCTTCTAAATGACAGCAAGCCAGACGGAATAATTTCACGGGGTGTTTTGTACCAGTACATTACAAAAAGTGTGTTTAGCAAATAAACATAATCTTGCTATCACTTTGTAATATTAAGAAGCTAAACATTACTTGTCCAAAATCTAAACATCAATGTTCAAAGGCTAAACACTATACATCAATACTCTAAACATGTTTAGTATTAAAACATACTTACAAACTAATAGCAAGAAAGTGTTTAGAGAAGTATTCGATTGTTAAATACACTTTTTGCAGTTGTACGATCCTTAATCCAAGTAAGCAATTCGCTATAACTTTTGGGGTGGATGTATATATTTAATTATCATATAGCCTTTAATAATTAAACATTGTATTTGACTGGCCATTCTTTCAGAATCATGCAGCTCAAGTTGTTCCCATTTTCCCTGTTTTAGAAGAATTTATTTTTATATCTATTTTCTTTTATAAAATGATGTGTTGTTGTCCTATGGAGTTCTGCAAACAAATAAAGTGTTTTATGTAGAGAGAAACCAGAGAACAATTGTACTGCGTTTACAGATGGAAATATGTAATTGTGTTATGGAACAGAGAATTCTCTGTTGTAGTTGCTCGTAAAAAAACACTCCATGTACAGTGACAAGGTCAGAGTTGAACTACGTGGAGCAAGAATGGGTTACCAGCCAACATCTCATGCAAGTTCATGCATGTGACTGGTTCACATCTGATTAATTCGCCACCAAGAAAGATTATGCTTGAATGTTCAACTTAGCATCTCTAATACCTCCGCTAAGGGGGTTATGTTTTCATCGGATTTGGTTAGTTTGTTTGTTGGTTGGTCGGTTGGTTCGTCTGTTAACAAGACAACTCAACAACTTGTATCGACGGATTTGTATGAAAAAAAAAGTTTCAGGGGTGGTCCTTGGTACAAGTACAAATCGATTAGACGTTGGAAGTGATCCGGATCTGGGTCTGGATCCACGATCTATTTTAAAGGATTCTTCACTATTTATGCGAGTATTTGTTTTGGTTCTACTGACAGTATGGCGGGGAATTATTTACAGCCTTGGCGGAGGTTTGCGCTCTCTGAGTGCTTTCCAGTTCTCAACATGGAATTGGGCACAGGTCGTTTCTTGCGGCAACTCTGCCGTCACCAGAGCGGGTCTTTTGACGACAGCATCCGGTAGCTAGTCACTATTGTTCTCGGTGGTTTGAAGACCTGTTGGAGCAAAGAAAGGAAAAAGATCCAATTTCAGGAATATTGGTAGATAGACCAAACCGACCGACTGAACTCCAAACTGCCATGTTTGCACTCTCATTACCTGAATGTTTATTTGTTTATTTATGTTATTGTATTTCTTTCTGGTAATGAAACCAATGACTCCTCAAAATAATGTGCCCTGCAAAGGATCTGTAGCTCGAAAGCCTGAAGAAACCTGTCGAGACGAGACAGTAAGAAGCAATTACAGATTTAGAGGTCACAGGGAGGAAAACCCTAGAAGAATATTCTGAGGAAAACCCACGGAATCAGGTAGGGGCTGAAAACCCAATCCACCTGTTTCAAGTTGTAGAGAGAAAATGATGTTTATAAACAAAGTCCTTATACTCGGACAGCCATTGGAATACCCACAAGATGAAAGATTGGCTCTAGGGCTGGAGAAGGAAAATACAGGCACATGCATGGAAAGCCTTTCTACATTTTTATTATTTTTTATTCATTTCCGTTAATCTTATAGTCATCATAATCGGGTAACCATTTTTGTTTTTACCTTGACTGCAATGAGGAAAGCGATGGTATAGCACATCGCAGCAAAGGCGAAGCCGTAAAACGTCGCGACGGCCCCGTACGAGGTGACCAGAAACCCGGTGATGATTGCACCGACCCCGTGGCCGAGACCGAAGTAGACGCCACTCAAGAATCCCTGCAGCGTGGCCATGCACTCGAAGGGAACGGACGGGGACATGTGGGACACCAGGATGTTCCAAGTCAGGGCAATTGACATACCTGGAAAGTAAACCCATAAACAAGAGATGACGCGTTTTGTAAATTGTTTGACTGGAGTGGCATCGCTATCCCGTATAGGAGAGTGAGGTTCATATCCGCCTTCCAAATATTATTATGCGGTCAGGGTTCGAACTCTACCAATATCGACATTTCTGCAGTCTCTTCAACCGATTCCCTTTTTGCCTATTACTTTAATCTTTTCTTGGGGTGGGGGAGGTCCCTTCCACCTTAAAAATTAAATAAACAATACCCATCACCACCTATAGCTAACTATTAACCATTATTCATAAATCCTCAGAAAAAAAACACATGAATTTATACATATATTTTTTCCGGAGTTAAATTTTCATAAATGTATAATTTTTGTAACATGTAAAATATTCGCTGTACAAACTAGCAAGCTTTTATGGGAATAAAGGTAAGATCTTAGGTAAGTGCCAAAGTGTGGTGTATGAGGACAAGTACTCAAATCGGATGAAATTATATCCGACTTAACTAAAGCCTCTGACAGTTTCCCCCATGCACATGCAACTTTTTTCATGAATTGCCATATATCTTGATCATTCGATCATAATATCGACGATTACGATCCCTTTATGAATCTCAATTACACCACGATTTCCTGTAAACAGACAACTATAAGTACCAGGGGTCCCCTTGTGCAAACCCCAGCTCAGAATTTGCAGAAAGGGGAAAAAAAGAGCTTCGAATTATTTGAGACTATAACCAAGCCCACTGTGTGCCCCCTTCAAAAAAAAATTACTGATGCCCCTCCTCCCATAATTGCCCCTACACTCAGTTACTCCACTGTTCATGAACCTACCGTGTAATACTTCCACAGGCAGGACCAGCCAGGGGTTGGTGACGTAAGCGTAGCACAGGAACCTCAGACAGTACACCAGCAGGCCGGCGCATAGCAGGTGTACCGGGCCGAAGCAGCCAATCAGACGGGGCGTGTGGAAGGCGAGGAGGAGCTCAGAGCCGGCCCTCACGGCTAGAACCAGACTCAAGGTGATCTCGGTGGCACCTAAGAAATGATGGAGACAGGCATTCAAAATTGTTTGAATGCAAGGCTGTGTGAGCTAGTTCTGTGGGACCTGGCGAGGTTTTGCGAAGCTTTGGGGTCTTGTGAGGTTCTATGAGGTTTGTGAGGTGATACGAAATTATGCGAGGTCTTTCGAGGTCTTGCGAGATGTGTGAGGTCTTGAAAACCTCAGGGAGAAATCCGATGTCCAGCTTTTGCTCACAACTATACCCATTCTATTTTTATTTAAAAAAAAACTGTGGTATGACATCTTTGACGAGTCGTTCAGTATTCAAAGTAGGTCTAACACCGCAATAGTTTGATTGGCCTCAGTTATGAAGCCGCCTCGGTGTAAACCTCAACTTTCCACTCACCGAGGTTGCGGAGGTGCCAGAAGAGATAGCCATCCACACACCCGTTACATACGGCTAGTACGAAGGCCGTCATCATAATCGACCCGTAGTAACCAGAGCACAGGGCCGGTAGCACGTTGCTGAACTTGTATTCTGCTTTGGTGTAGTACTGCAATCAAAACAAGACAGGGGAACTTACGGGTTTCCAAGCAGCCCTACTATATAAAAAAATCCTTATAAGGGTTTATACCACACGTATTTAGGTTTATATGAAACTCTGAGCATTTCTAGCGTTGGTCCCATGATCAACACCTGTTGTTTGACATTTGAGTCTTGCATGTTTTTCGAAACAAATTATAATCGCTGTCTGGTCGTCTTTGTAAAAACCTCATACCTTAAACTTCATTCAAAGTATTCAATGGTGCAACAAAAGAAAGAGCTCAAATAAAGGTGCCTATTTGTTTTTGTATTTAAAAAAAACTCTATTCAAAGAAGGATCAAAACTGCATAATTTTGATAAAATTTTGACAAGGGAAAGGGATTTTTCCTGAAGGGAGAACTAAAATGTTGGCAAAAGAAACAAAAAATAACAGAAGAGGAATGATTCACTACCTTGAATTTGAAGCAGCAGGCAAAAAGAAGGCCGAAGGCGCAAGCCACTGTGCCGCCAAACATCACGATACCGATTCGGTAATCGATTATCTCGATTTCGAGCCCGCAGAGGATTTGTGGGAATCGCATGAGGCCAAGAAAAGAGGCTACTGCTATGGAGCTAAAAAAAAAAAAAAAAAAAAAAAACAACGAAAGAAAAAAAAGGATTAACCTTTGTGTGTTTTTTTGGAAATAAGATATAATAAGAAGCTAACAAACATTTCCAGCACGTAAATTTTGTTTGTATAAATATCAACACGGGGGTTAAACACCTCATTTTCAAGAAACGTATCGTGAAACTGTGAGTGAACCTTAAAGTCTGTGAGGTTGACTTACAGCCTGTGAGGTTTACTCACAATTTGCATAAATCTTTACTGAGACTTACTAGACAGCAAAGCCCGCTGAGCCGAAAGATCTCTGCCACCCGTAGCGATCCCAAGCCTGCTCGCCCAGTTCATTCAGCGTGGCTGTGTCGGTCAGCGCCATGGTCGACCTATACATCACCCCACCGAGGTTCATCAGCACAGACACCTTGATGAACGACTGCAGGAGACTACGCTCCTCGAACAGCCAGCCAATCCCGATACTCGTACCATTCTGCAGAGGTATAACGCGCGGTATGAAGAGGGCCCCGAACGTCTGGATATTTTTGACGAGCGACCTGATTGGATCGTCGAGGTCTCGCGTAGCCATCGAGGCGCAGGTGTCTCCGAGATCCGGGGAGAATGGATCCGGCAGGTGCAGCAAGCTCAGAAGCGGCTTCCACCGGTCCTGGTCAGCCCCAACGCTAGGCCTCCCTTTCTCCTCCAACGAGTACTCATCTGAGGACCTATTTACTATGCACTCCAGGTGCAAGAACTCCCTAGAGTTCTTTGACAATGTCCGAGACACCTGCCCGAGGTTCGACACCACTTCCTGGCAGTTAGCCGGTTCCAGCGGCTTGGGAAAAGTCACAGAGACGACAAAAGCAAACCAGAGCGAGAGACAGACGAGAAGAACCCCCTTACGGCACTGGAACCTGTCTGCCAGGATCCCACAGGCTGGGTTGACGAAGGCCGTGACAAGGTGGGGGAGTCCGAGTAGAACACCTACCATGGATGGTGGCAGGGACAGGAGACTCAAAAACACGGACAAGTAGGGCCCGATGCACGCTACTCCGCCCCGGAAAAAGATGTATAAGAGTTTGAACGGGAGCATGCCTTCGTTCATCGGACAGTAGCGTAGGGTAGCCTCATCTGGACCAATGAAGCAACACGGATTGTCGCGGTCGGCATCACCACCGCTCAGGGACCCGTAGTCCGATCCGTCGTCCGTGAATTTGGCCGCGAGCCCGGTGGGCTTACTCTCCATTGTGCTGGGTGGTTTTGCGGCTCCGTCCACCACGGCGGCAGCCTGGTAGCTGGCCAGGACGCGGGCAAATCGAACTTGCCGCTGTTCGTTTGATTCTTTGTCAGGATCCATTTTAGGCCACAGCGAAATTATCACAAGACGCAACCAGATAGGGATGCACTCTTTAACACAGAAACCGGCCTTTATTCAAAATCTTTTCCTCTATCGGCACGATCTTCATCGTTTTTTAAGGTCTATGATAATATTAAGCTTCCATTACTCGTGAAATCTGTAAAAAAAAAAAATGATTCTGATGTTTAAACATTGCACCGTGTTGTAATATTTTCTGATGGGGAAATAATTCTTTGAGATAGAATTATAATAATAATTCATAAATTTATATTACGCAAATTCCATAAGAATATGATCACATGCACATCACAATTATTATCCCTGTTCATCAGGAAAGAGACCCAGCAACAGCTCGAGATCCGCACAATATGGTCTCTACCCTCACAGGTACCCATTTGTACTCCTTGGTGGAGAGAGGCAATCGTAGTAAAGTGTCTTTCCCAAGCGCACAAACACCATGTTCCCCGTCAGGGTTAGAACCCATGTACCACGGCACACTAGTCAAACACCGTAACTATTGGGCAACAGTACCCCACAAGGCAACGGATTAAACAAATACATTATGATCGTCGCTTTTACCTTATCCAATAAAACAAAATCATTTTTCAAATCGAGGATCAAAAAATCTGAACCACTTACCTCACAGGGAACGCACTGTAAGTATGGCATCGCCCGCATTCACGTACTCGCTGAATTATGAAGGGCAATATAGGCCATGCCATAGGCCGGGTCATAGTGACATGGTAATAGTTCCAAGGTAATTCCACACAAAACACTCACTGTTTAATAGGGGATGGTCGGGTGAGATCACGGACATAATCCAAGCGTTCCGTTCAGCACCCACACATGCAGTTCAACTAAATAGACCTAGATTTTGTTGTCAACTTCCCATGTATGATTGATATGCACAGGATTTTTTTTCTAGCCTCTATTCGAGTCTGCGATTTTGACAATTATTACCGTTCAATATTACCGCATAATGAGATAATTTCAAAAACTACCTTACTAGGACTACATGTATTATAACATTAATGACTTCTCTGTTCACTTTTTCAATTAAAAAGAATTGGAAAAAAGTTAAACTCAGCTAAAATAGTTTTGGATTGACTGAACTGCTGTCAAAATAACTAGACTTTTAGCCAGATTATGTTGACAGTGGAGACAAGTCTACAATGGTTGGAAATATAATTACGGAATTCGAAATCAGAAGTTTGATTGGACATGTATTTAGAAATAATTTTACTTCCTTTCTTCCCCGTAAAATGTATGTACTGAACTCTATTCATACAAATATTAAGTGTGTCGAACTTTTATTCCACTGAAGCTTTGTTTACTCTCTTTGCCATCGGATACGGGTCGCATCGGTAGCTACAGACTTGAGGGGCGTCTACACATGCGATACAGACGCAGTGACTCAGATCAAGGCATGCAGTCGAACCTCAATATTTCGCAATACAAGGAGGATTTCATGAAACGCTTAAGAAGGGATTTGCTGTTTTAAGACTCTTAACTTGCGATCTCCCTGAAGATTTACTTAAGACCAAACTTAAGATCAATTGGAACACCACACAAGGTCATTTAATGATAAATACGTACAGTATAATTCACTTTATGTCTCTTAAATACTGTGAAAAAAGCGCGCAGCAAAAAGTAACGGAGTTACGGTAACTATTTCTCGACATGTATTAGACTTGAGTCGTGGAAAATAACTAGGTTTTTTTTTTACTTAAAATATATTTCGAACATCCTTTGTATGTTTTCAATGCTTGGTGACATGAAGTGAAAGGTGGCTGTGTTAGTGTATTCTGTGCAGTAGGCCTACGTGGGCTGAACAAAATGGAAAAGAGCTTTAGCCTTATTTGCTCACGTAGTCACGCATGCAACATAATTTTGGAACAAACAAAAAGAATCATTGTGTGGGTTTTCATTGTAATTTTCAGGTAGAAGTATTTGCGGTGCATAAAACCCCATTGCCCACGCGTGACCGAATCCCGGAAAACGAAAGGCATGAAATTGACTCATGATTGCACAAAGAGACAGGTGTTATTATTTGAATCTGTTATGTGACGTAGCAAGGTCATTTGATAAAATGGGGGGGGGGGGGGTGAGACCTGAACAGTGTACTCGCTAGATCATCCGCGCTAAAGGCCTACACAGGGTTTTTCTCTGTAAAATCAAAAAGCCGACATCTGGCCAAGGAGGCGGGCAAAACCTATAGCAGCATATTTTCCACTTCTAAAAAAAAATGCTTTTAGTAACATAAGCTCACAGCGTCTTTAAAGACATTTCGGATATTTGCTTTTCATGCATTTTGTTCGTTTCCAATAATAACACCACTTAAAATCAAAAAGAGAATGTTCTAAATTTTACCTGCCGGTTTCAGCTATATGGATATTACAACTTTCGATAAAACAATGAGGAAAATAACATGCACAACTCCCTCTTGATCACGAAATATGATTTCGTCCATATAGCACTCTTCAACAATCAGTCGATCGGAAACCACTTACATTTCTTGATTTCTTCTAAGGCCAAAAAAAAGTATCCGTTTTCTGGAATGCGCACGCGTCGCCGTAGCCATGCGCGTCGGCAAAATGGGGAAAAAAATTCAATAAAAGATGATGTCTTAAAACCGCCAAACTCATGGTTTAACTGGAATCCTGCTGCTGCACAACTTTAACGTGCTTTTAGATGGGGTTATGATCAGGAATTAGCTTTATGTGGCCTCTCTGGACTCCCATATATATTTGCACTAAGTTTAGTCGGGCACCATTTGCAGTCATCAGCCGACATTTGAAGCAAAAAAAATCAGGTAAAAAAAAAAGCCGCGTCGCCGCTCCACTTTTTGGGCAAGCTCCATACCAGAAACCGGATACTTTTTTTGGCCTAAATGACAGGAAGCCAGACGGAATAATTTCACGGGGTGCTTTTAGTACCAGTACAATCTTTAATCCAAGTCAGCTTGAATTCGGTAGATTACTTTTAGGATTAATGCAAATGATCCATTATGCCTGAAAAGCACTCACTCTCCACATCTCGTTAATTGAAAGTGCCATATCATGTAGCCTGCAATTATGAACCGGCCAGCATCACAGATAGCACCGATTTTAATACGATAATGTAGGCCTACATTTGTGTTGCTGGCCTTAATGCCGTCGTTTATTCGCCGAACCGTCTTTACGTCCATCGGAGCACTCTGCCAAATTAAGACATGTCTGATTTCCTGTGTGAAAACTCGGCTCCATGTTTCAACGGTGAATTAGAAATGTTCGTGTGTCAGTGGTTTAGTTGCTGATGATCTGTTGAACAAATTTGAATTGCACGGATCCAAACAGCGAGTGGGTGTTTTAAAGGAGTGTTCATTTCTCGGCAAATTTGGTCATAAAATTGGTTTACACTAATAAAACCTTTAAAAAAACCTCTAAAACCTACCAAACTGATGCTGCTGATAAAAGTAAGGACAACAGTCACAGTTCTGAATATTTAATGTCTTGCTGACATCCTATGATCTGCGAATGCATTATATTCGGTGCACAGTCCTTTATGAAAAAAAGTGCATATTTTAATGATAATATCAACCACATCATCACGAGTATCTATACTATACAAGAACTCATTGCACTATCATCCCACTGATCTCATTGTAAAAACCTGGATAGTGTTTGCCATTACGAGCTTTACTTAACGGTGAAGCTATACGCACTGGTTCCCTATCCTTCCATTTGAATGTGTGGAGGGAACCATTCTCGACCACTCCCATTGTTCAAAAGTAGAGTCGTCTAAATGTATACCAAAACAGAAAATTTATATGAGATACATTTTATTTCCATTGATTTTTTTTAAACAAAGAAATAAAAACTCTTTGATTAAACAGTTTACATGTCAATGAAGTTAAAACAAATTCTTACAAATCTGTTGTTCTTGAAGTGGTTATCCGCTCCGTTCACAAGTACCCCCTCACCGGCAAAGAAAGTACAGAGGGGGTGACTGACCGACGCCATCTTGCCTGACTGCAATTTTGGATTTACATCGATGGATAATTTTGTACAGTAATATATGCCTGAAGGCCCATTTACCAAACAAGATAGTGCACAATATCTATAACAGACGACCTCTATAGTTAACGAGACACCAATATGAAAAAAACTTAACACCCAAATCCACGCATTAAAAGTAACTCCCAATAACGACTGACAATGCAAATAATGTGAGGATATTAGACTATTGCGTAGTTGTATTTTAAGTTAATTCCACTTTTACCTTTCAATATATTGCGGTTATATGGCGGTTAAATGGCGTAGGCGTTCAAATCTCCAAAAGGTCAACCCCATTAAAAAAAAAGTATCACAATTTCTCCTAATCAAAAGACATGCAGATTTTCATTAGTGCAAACGATTATATACACGCAGTACTTGACTTTTATTCAGGTTCTTATGGATGTGCAGACAAATTCTATGCACATAATCTGTAAACCGACACCGGTAAAACTTCACGATCACGAACACCCCGATGTGTACCGGTAACCTCACGAAGCGGTAACCTCACGAAGTGGCAACTTCTGGCGTCTCGCCCGGGGTCTGGACAACCTCAACAACTATCGCCAAAAAATAGGTGAGGAAAGCGATGTAGAATACAACAAAGGAGACGCGATCCAGATACTTCGCAATTTTCTTCAAGTTCCAGGATTTCTTTGCCTGTGAAATAAGAAAAGAGTACAAAACTTGAGTAATGGCCCTTAGCATTACGGCTACATTGCGAACCTCATTAGTACTATATCCCGCTTAGGTCTACAGAGAGCACTAAAACCTCGCACAGTTTGGTGTAAGACAAAGGATCCGTACTCGATCCGAAAGTGTATTACAAACCTTCGACTGCGTTGTTTCCTCGTGTTGTGCTGCATCCCCTTCGCCGTCTTGAGTGAGTGTAGCTTGTTGGTGACCCTCACTGCCAACTTGTGCACGAGGTGTGGGGAAACCCTGTGAGGTTTCCCCGCCATCACTTCTGTGGTAGAGGGCAATAGATACAGCAGATATCATGACTGCAAAACCGGCAAGTACGAAGTTGAAGAGCACGTAGCGAATCATGACTGAAGGTGTCTCGCCTCCCGCATCACTCAACTCATCCTGAACAAGCAGCTGAAAGATAACAAAACCGAAGAAGATGGAAATGCCGAAGGAGAGTTTCTCGCCGCACTCGTTGGGCAGCCAGAAGATCATTGAGGCGAGCAGCGTGAAGATCGTGCAGGGGGCCAGTACCGTGTACACGTGGTACTTGGGCTCGCGCCTCAGCGTGAGGCTCAACATGGCCTCTGAGGATCGGTGGCAGTCCTCACCATCCGATATTGCGTCGATGCAAGTCGGTGACAGTATTCCTCGGACCGTGAGGTCCTCAAGACGCCAACTGGATATTGCCATGATACTCTCACGAGGTCTATCGGCCTTGAAGGCATCTAACCTCATGACGCCGCTTGGGACGCCAACTGTGCCGACAACGAACCAGCATTCCTGGACATCGAAGGGGAACAACGACTGCTGGAGGTGGCATTGCGTCTTGAAGCCGAGGTTATTTCTAACGTGAAGCACGCCCTCACTGGTGACAAATATCTCTGTGTCGTCCGTGATCAATCTCGTCTCTTCCAGACTACAATGCACAACATATACAGTTCAAATTGTAATCTTTGTGTCGGTACATAGTGCTATGAATATCCTATAGACCTTTATCATGCTGACGCCATTTCAGTTATATTCCCTGTATCCAATAACAGTACTGAATGATAATTTGATTTGTGCAAAAAGGAACCAGACTGTTTTTCCTTCCAGCCTCGCTTTGATTACGTTGACTTGAAGATTACGTTGACTTGAATTGGAAAAAAATCAAGATGGCCGCAACATGAATAAATGGTCTTTACTCCCCGGTTTGCACGTTGTCTTTAAACAAGAAACAAGATAAAATCAGTATTTGGCATCATGCATGAACATTGGCGACAGATTGTCATACGTCATTTTGCATTAATTATAATAATTATACATTGTACATTGTTACCAGGAGCTAACATTTGACGATATTATGAAGGACAGGGAAACTCACGCGTTCATCACAATGAGTTTGGGATACCAGGTCTTGCCCGCCGCAACTGACAGATACTCCAGGCCGTTGTAGACGTCAGGGTCCCACTTCAACCTGTCATCTTGCCATTTCTGAAAAACAAGTATACAATCACGTTTGATCGGAGTTTTCGTCAAATGATTTTTTTTTTAAATTATTCTAATAAGTACAATTGCATCGATCGTTAAAGGACAAGCCCGAAACAAAGGGAAAATAAAACATTCAATTTACAAAATGAAACAAATTAAAAGTATTCAACATTTATTCAAAGAAAAAGAGTACACTTTTATGTTCTTACCATGTTAAATGCAGAAGCCATTGTAATTACTTGTTCCTTGGAATCCTGTAAAAAAATACTGCAAGTGCTGAAGTTTTCTTTTTCATTATATTCAAATGGCAACTATAATTGAAACCGACAGGGATCTATGCCAAACAAACGCTTCTACCTCATGATGTATTTATTGTGCTTACTGCCCCATAAGGAACCCAACAAATCAACAAAATATTCGCTGACAATTTATCACAAAATGAACTGTTTTCTTAGTGAATTCTTCCCTCCACCCGATTGGAAAAATGGAAAATTCTTAATGCAAATTCCGAACGCTTTTCATTTTTTTCCATCTAACTTACAATATTAAGGATGGAGAAGACATCCACCCGCAGAGCGACTTGCACCGTCTCGGAGGCGTTTCGGACTGGGCGGGTCTCGGCATCGTACCCGGCGTTCGCCCACAGATCTGAGACCAGACGAGCCTCGTCGTTCCACGGGACGGCACCCACTGCAGCGATGGCATGGACTAGCACTAGAAGCACGGAGATTACACGGTTCATTTCTGAAAATCTGAATTGGAAGATATGTCAGTTAGAAGATCGATTGATTGAGTTTTTCTTTTCGTAGATTCCAACTTACAATGAAATGTGGAGGCCTAAGTAGGAAACAAGTGTATCAAAGGTAAAATAACACCAAAAGCCAAAGCTTGTTCCACTTCTTAAAAATCCTGTACCTTTGGGTCCCATTTAACGTCATTTTCATTTTGCTATTTTAACCATCCTTATAAATGGCAAAAATAATTTGAAATAAGGTTAAATGGGACCCCCCCCCAAAAAAAAAAGGTTTACATTTTTTTGTTTTTTGAATGATTGCGTTAAACAAAATTACATCGCAAAGGCCTTTTAATTTGCAACATCGCATCCATTTCGTTATATGATGCATCACAGCGATAACTACGCAATTCAATTGGTAGGCACTCGCGCATGCATCAACCTCTATTCGGTACAGCCCATGCAAAGCCATTACAGGCCTACCTATTAATTGGTATTATTTCATTTCTGGGCACAGAGTTTATAACACGGCCTATCGGACGTTACTAAGCAGTCGCTGTAACAACATTTTGTCGTAATCCGGCGTCACAGCTCTGAGTATCAGGTGCAAATTTCCATTTGAATAGAAAAGGAACACCTGGGGACGCTGTTTGAAAAAAAATGATTTTATTCTGATTTTTGATTATAACTGTTTTTGATTTTTCAAAAACTTTATTCATCGGATTAAGAATATTTTTATACAGAGTAGGAACGTTTTAACATACAGTGCTGACACGTAACTCGTCCATTCATGTCAAAGCATAAAACTGCAAGAACGTAAAACGTCTACATTTGTACTTGATTGTCTCAAATAATATAAACCCTACATGACGCACGTCATTTTATTACCCAAAGAAAATGGTTATGTCCCACAAAGTAAATATAATTTATAAACTGTGGTTGAAGAAAATAAAACAAGTGGTGGGAAGGTACATGGAATATGGATTTTTTTCATAAAATACAAATATCATTTTTTTTTTACACGTATAATGTGAACATAGCCTGGTGGAAAATCGACATGTTGGATCCACACGCAGTAAAGTCACAAAATTATGAACTAATTGTAAATTCTATCATTTATGCTTAGTCTACAACTTGAAAATAGGTACGTACTTTTCTGGGCCCGGAAGACTCGACACTTGCGTACCTCTTCCTGTGGTGCAAAGCGGAGAGTAATGATGGCGACTGTATACGCATGTCGTTATTAGGCCAAGTAAAAATAATATTATGTTCAGCGTCCGGGTTTTTGAAGAAGAAAGGACGGAGGATTTTGTTTCCATTTAGCCGCCATTCGAAAAGTTCTCGTTTGGGAATGAAATGACGTCACGATTTTAGTAAAGTTGACTCCGATTGGCTGGCGCGCGGCTTGCATATATCTGCATGTCTAGACATATCAGACGTCATACAGGATACTCTTGGCCCCGTGAATTAACGGTTGATACTCAGACCTTCCGAGCCCATGGTCTGAAGTTAAAAGTTCCCACTTGCAAGTATTGATTTTCTTGTGGATTGGTTAACATTTTTGGTTTTTCCCGTGGTACCGGTATTATTATTATTTTTTTTAAATCCAGGCGACCTTCAAAAAGGAAGCGGGCGGGGACGCTTAACAAATCCTTTTTTTTTTACGTTGCCATATCTTTTACATTCACTGCGATCAACTTGAACCTATTAAATTGACAACAACAAACAAATCTTTTGCCATAAAAATACGCGCTATGTAAAATTTGACAACTTGTACTGGTAACACAATCGACAGTGTCAATATGGCGACCATAAAAATAAGTCAAGTTGAAACACAGATGTATACGGGTACCAATTGGGTTCAACTATATGGACAGTCTGATGGCTGTATTTGGTTGGTACTCGGTTTTCGGCCACGCACGGGGAATTTAATCGTATTGATGAACACAAGGGAGTTGGTTTCCTGATTGATTTCAATATCACTGAGCCGTAACAACTCGAGTGCAGGCCTCATAAGATGTATCGTAGTTTTCAAGAATGCAGTCTGCCCTTGCACCTGGATTGCTTTTTCACTCTGACAAATATACACTTAATAGAAAAGGGAGTTGCATTAATCAACAGTTGCTGGTACATGTTCATGTATATCTTTTTACGAGAGGCGGATCTATTTGTGCTAGTTCTTTAACATTAACAATTCATCGGCTTAATTCTTATACATCGGCTCTAGGCATATAACATACACGTGATTTTTTTTGGGATTGAATTTACGTTAAAAAAATCTGGGTTAAGAAAAACATCAATTGTTGGTGTTATAAAAAAACCCAATACGATCTGAAGTGAGGAGGAGGAAAGCGGAGACAAACAAAATGTGGAAGGAAAAGACGAATTGACAATAGAGAACAGATTATATTTCCAATGAAAACAGAGATTTCGTTGAATTAAAACAAAGCAATGTGAATTCCATTAGCCACGTTACTGTAGCAGTGTTGTAGTCGAGTACTTTTTTCCGAGTACCGAGTACTGCCGAGTACTTAGGTTGCCGAGTACGAGTACGAGTACTTGTACCTCCGAGTACAAGAACGGGTCTCCGAGTACGAGTACTTGTACTTCCGAGTACGAGTACGAGTACGAGTACTCGCATTTCCGAATACGGCCATAGGCCCTAAGGCAATTGGTTTATTGTGCGTAATTGGCCCAGGCCCAGTCAGACCGATATACAGACCCACTCACGGCTAGCTGTTAAATGTGTTTGTCCGGACTTGCACAGAGGAAAATCAGGAAATCTCGATTTCTTCACAAGCCAATCAACCATTTCAAACTGAAAGAATCGATAAAATAAGGCCATGGTAAGTGAAGCTATACCATCCCCCCACCCCCGAGTACTGCTATTCGAGTACGAGTACTTTAATGATCGAGTACAATTTCGACAGGTCGAGTACGAGTACTTTGCTGCCCGAGTACGAGTACCGTCATTTCGAGTACGAGTACTTTGACATTCGAGTCCGAGTACGAGTACGAGTACTCCAAAAAAAAAGTATAGTACCGAGTACGAGTACTACAACACTGTACTGTAGGCGTAATAGGCGGGATTAAGGTCTATTAATACAGCTCGCAATTAATTAGGCAACATTAAAGGCAATGTACAACATTTGCTTTTGCTGCAATTTTCAGAAATAAATTGATTTGGAGGATTAGTACGTTATCTATATATATAAGAGAGAAGTTTACTCGCCCCCGAGACGATGTTTGCTCCTGAAAGGATCCGAGACCGCGGGCTCCCACGGCGCCAAAATCGCTCCACGTCCGTGGAAAAATGCGGAGGGTGTCTTCCGCCGGGTCAGACACTTCGGGTCGTCCTGATTTTCCCGTACGGACCGGCGATCCGTTTCGTCGATTTTTCGTGACTGCGTTTTGCGCAGGAATTTGCCGTCGTGTGCGCTTTCACGTTGACTGCCTGGCCGCCCCCTGTGCTGGCTTTTTCTGCGTGTCTAGACTGTGCGAGGTCAGCGGCTTCGACGTAGGGGTTGCGTTTACGTGTTCTACTGGGCTGTTTTGCAAAAGAGTTCACCAAACGGTAGCATGGGGTGACCTTGGCAAAATATTTTTTCTCCATGGTGCGTGGCCATCGAGTGTCCCTATTCTTTCATATGCTTCGCATGCCGCCCCTGCGCCGAGTGCAATGAATACTCAGAAGGACCACACATTAGTATGCATTGCGCGGTCTGACCAATCATGGAGGTAGAATTCTACCTCAATGGACCAATCGAAAGTCTACACTGCGTAGTACTTCCGAGATATGCGTAAAACCGTCGATGGCAACGCGTACTGCAGCCTGCTACACACCCTGGAAACGAGGTTGGGTCTACGGTGCTCGCTATTTGCAGCACAAGCATGTGATGTGATATAGTGCTCTGTTGCTTCCATCATGTGTTCACAGCTCCATGCATCCACCAAGGCTGACCGTTGTGAGTTCGCTGCCCGCCACGTATAATTCAGTGTCGCGTTATAATTTCAGGGGCCTGTTTGGGATCAACGAAGGATCGATGCATTGCTTCAAATACCGCGATCTTAAACGCAGTCACAAAAAATCGACAAAAAAGTGTCATCCGACCCGGTGGAAGACACCCTCCACATTTTTCCACGGACGTGAAGCCGCGGTCTCGGATCCTTTCAGGAGCAAACATTTCTCGGTGGCCGAGTAAAACTTGCTCTTAAATAGATGGTTGAACCAAGTTGAACCAACTTGACTAAAAAGTGGAATCGACTTTTTCCTCGCAGACGGTCTCGCAAATTGTAAGAAGTTCAAGTTTACGTTTGTTGAAGAGAACAATACTGAAACTTAATTATGACCGTCCTCCATGATTCAGACCGTTTGTAATTTTATGGTAACACTCAACATTTTCATTTCAAATGACACCTTCACGTTTTATTGCATTATGATTTATTGTCAAAACTGTACAATCAGCCTTCGCCTGAAATGTACTACAGTAACCTTTTCACTACGTTTTCCAAATGCGACTGGATCTACGGCGCTCACTATGTACAAGCGTGTGACGTGTGATAGAGTGCTGTTGCTTCCACCATGCATGGCTGAGTGTTGTGAGTTCGCTGCCCGCCACGTATAATTCAGTGTCGCGTTATAATTTCGGGGGCATGTTTTGGGATCAACAAAGGATCGATGCATTGCTTCAAATATCGCAATCTTTGAACTACGTTGGGTTGGAATAACGAAGGGTGCATAAATAATAATATCCATTGGCGGTTGTTGGCTGTTTGGCCTTGCTTTATTAATTAGGGTTGACCCAACTTGAATAAAAGTTTAATCGACTTTTTCCTCGCAGGTCTTGCAAATTGTAACAAGATCAAGTTTACGTCCAATAGTGACCTTCCTCCATGATTCAGACTTTGTAATTGTATGGAAAACACTCAACATTTTCATTGCAAATGACACCTTCACGTTCTCATTGTTATGATTTTATGTCAAAAATGATCAGCCTTCGCCAGCACATGTGT